CATAGGAAACCCATTGGGCGCAATATCCTGGAATCAGGGGAGGACGCTCCTTGCGTTTCGCATCGGAACTCCCAGTTCTTGTGTGTGCGAATTTGCACTCTTGTCCGCGCGAACAGTATCCACGCGCGAAGTCCCTGCACGCATCAATCGCAGGAGCACCGGGCGACGTAGATCTGGGCCTCCTTGGGGGCTCGCCCCTAGGGCTAGGCGTACGCCGCTTGTCCTGCTCCCGATTCCTGGGAGAGTACCTGTCCCTTCGATGAGGACTTGGGGTATTACCGGTCCTCTTCCTTGGATCGCTAGGAGGCCGATTAGGCCTATGGGAATCTCCAAACGGAGATCGTCTCCTGACGGGAGGACCAGGAGCACCAGGTTTCTGGGCTCTGTCCCTGGACTGAGATCGTTCGTAAAAGTCTTTGTGCATATTGACTTGATTCTTACGAACCCTCCAGCGGTCAATTTCGTTCTTACAACGAGCACGAAGCCATTCATAGCTACAAACATCAGGGTTGGATATGTTCCTATCCCATTCCCTGATATCATGAGCCAAACAGTTGAGGTGTCTAACCTTCTCACTGAATAGCGACCGCTTTACCTGTTCGGTCAGCGGTTCATCGAGACCCGCAAGGATGTGATCCCACTTCGCGATGAACCTTTCAAGTCGCTCCTCTTCAGTATAGAAAGATGAAACACTGCATCGCAAGTTTGAGAGCTCAATTATCCTGAATGATTGCTCTCCGATATTCGCAGTCCTTAAGTGGTCGTATAAGAGCCACAGGATCTGCCTACTCTTGATGCGATTGTTGGAGCGTTGAGCGGCTTCGGTGAGACGATTAATCTTATCGATAATTGCAACAGTCTTGATGCACTTCCGAATGGCTGCATTGAACCTGGCTTCAAGGATGTGGTATTTACATTCCCCATCCAGTTCATCAAAGGTCTTTGCCTTCTCGACTTCAGTTAGCCAATTGATGACGTAAAGTCCATCATAGCTGTAGGCATTGCTAACAGCTTCCTTCATATTGGCAATCCATACCCTCAGCCCAGCCGCGTCGGGCTCTGGCGGGAGGTCTATGGGAATGCACTTAGTCGCAGCTGTACAGTTCGGATCATGGTGGCTACTGTATCCGCCGCCACCAGTTCCGAAAAGATGCTGTGGAACCTGAGAACTACCGATTGACAATGCACATACAGGACAAAGGCGAGTAGCCTTCGGAATGCAAATCTCACATGCCCTTTTCATGCATATCTTACATTCCCCAATTTTGCTGGGGTCAGGAATATCCCGATCACACATCCGACAGTTCTTGTCAGGAGGATCGGGGCCACGCATGGTCGGCGGCTCAAGGCCTGAAGGATCCTTCGGCCTTGTACCGTTGGGATCAAATCCTGGATAATATCCGGTTTCACGTTTATCCAGGGGCACGGGTTGCGTAGCCTTCGGAGGGCTCTGAAGGTCAGCCGCGTTGGGTTGACCCCCAGTTGGAGTGTCACGGAATCTGTCAACGGGTGGCCGCAGAGGCGGCGAGTACGACCGCGTCGGGTTCGTCTCAGGTACGCCTCCAGGCGATCTATTCCTGACACGGTTACCATCGGGATCCCTTCTTCTCCTAGTTTCGTCCCTAAGGCACGCAAGACAACAGGGACCCTGGACAAATCCAAATCTCCTGTAGTCATCCTGCCCAGCAGAATGTCTGGTGCAGTAGTAGGTCTTACAAAACTGACACTCAATTCCCTTGGTCAGGAACGAGCTCTCCCTACAGACTCCGCATCGGGGTCCGTTACGGGAACATTCTTCACATAGGTTCTCTTTAAACGAGAAACAATACTCACAAATATCACCTCTGCATCCTTTGCAGTGAAACTCAGCCATGAGATGATTATATCCATCACCTACGTATTTACATCTGGGTTTACCAGGGTCGCCAGGGTTCCCACTGGCGGCACTCCTCTTCCCCCCTCCTCCTGGGCTTTGCCAATCTGGAGGAGGAGGTGGTGGAGGATCATCATCAGGAGGACCAGGTGGAGGTGGCCGGACGCGGCACGCCTTCCTCCTGTGCGATCGTTCAGTCCACTACTTGAGGCCTGGTTCGAGTGCCTTGACTCGAGGGAGCTAATTCTCTGGGCCGTATTACCCAGCACCTCGAGCATTTGCTCGAGCTTACTGTTGAGCGTAGTCGAAACGGCCATGTTATGAGTATTTTGCTTGTCCGTGTAGGATTTGCAGTCCCTTGACTTTATCTCAAGGTTGGCTTGTGTCTCATAAAGTTGGTCTTTAACCCACTTTATGCCGTCCCTATTATTGGTCCAGCGTTGTTCGACATCTTGCATCATCCTATCAATCTGACATACCCTAGTGGACAGGTCCTCGATTTTGAGGTTTACTCCACCAATCGCAGGATGGTTGGATTGGCTCTCCACTAGAGATCTCTCGATCATATCAACACGAGCTATAAGCCCGGTTACTCGATCAGAAAGAGATTCAAAAACAGTTTGAACCTGGGTGATGGAGCGAGCAACATCATCATAGCTGGCTCGCTCATTTAGGGCATCGCCTATGCTTATCATGCGATTGGAAACGATCTTGACGCGTTGGCCAAGCTCGGTCACGATGTCCTTAGTCCCTTGTGACAGCTGCATGGCCGCGTTCGCAGCCTGCGTACACGTGCTACTCACATGGACGCATTGGTCGTATTTGGCCCTCCACGAGTTAACCTCAGTGGAGAGCTGCTTGATGCATTGATCACTTCTATCATTCCTACGCCCAAGGTCTTCGACCTTAGCAACCAGGCGATGAATGATCGCACTTACCGAAGAGTCCACTCTCCCTCTTTCAAGGGCTGTTACAAGATCAGCAACCTCGTTGGGTTGCTCCTCACTCGCAGGACCAAATCCTGATCCGCGATCTCGAGGAGTGGACAAATCAACCATGATTGGATTAGATCTCGGAGGAGTTCTGAAATCATCCTGCACGGCCGTTGATGGCCGTGGGAACTCACTCCGATTAGGAGATTGACTCTGATACGGAGCAGATCTCCTAGCATCACGAACCGCAGAGGGTTGTGTCATGCCCAGGCCTTTGGCCATGGACAGTTTAGGAACAACAGGCCTATCCGTCCGCATAGGAACATCAGGTCTCGAGTCAGCAATAACAATGTCATTCAAGTCGGTCGCATTGGACACTCTAGACTCAGACATCGATTCAATATCAGTCGCATTACTGATGGTATGATTGCGACTAGAACTTGATGCCATCATGGACTCAGATTCTATCGGAACATTAGCCCCGTCCATGTTGTCCAGAGCGAAAATGGAAGCCGCGTTGGGCGTAGGGCGAACACCTTGCGCGTTCAAGCCACTTGACCTATTAAATTCCTCCTGGAATGCTTCGATCCCATCAAGCATGTTAACGAGTGTGTCCGCGTTTAACGGGTCTCTACCAATGATCGACGCTGGATCACCTGATCGACCGCGTCCTGAGTCCCGCGTATTGGGGTTACCCCTGTGGGCAGTTTCCCGATCCATCCCCCTTGCCCTATGCGATCCAGTCGAATTTGACCTTGATCGTTTGCTTGGGGTTGGACTGGGATGCAAATCCAATCTATCTACGATATTACGCTCCCTAGGGCTCTCAAATCCTGAAAGTCCTGGGGGAGGGGACATGTTCCTCATGGTCGGGTTTACCGACGGTCTTGGCCTGACGTTACGGCTGGCCACGTCAGGATTGAGATTCTCAATCGACAAAGGTAGCATGAATTCATCGCTTCCAGCAGCCCGTTTTGGGCTTTGGAATTGCGGGAAAGATGACGGGGCGGGTGGCCCTGGCATCCATGCGGCAAAATCCATACCAAAAATGTTTCCGTCGTTGGGCCATGAGGCTCTCCAATCGAGCCCACCGGATTCGGTCGGCAGATGAACATCAAATGCAACTCCACTGGATGTACCAGGTTCGGGATTACCGAGCACTTGAAAAGCTATGCTACTGGTTGGCACAGGTCTACTGCTGCCTCGGGAGTCACGAATTTCGGACTGACCAATATTCATCAGCTCGGGGAAAGATGAGGATTGAGCTCCAGGTGCAATACCGGGCTCGTCATCATCACGTCCTGAGACGGAATCATCATGGCCAGGACGATTAGACCCATGACCCTGAGAGCGATTAGCTCTTGAGGCATAAGACGATAGATCATCAGTGCGAGTAGCACTGGATCTTTCTGAAGGCATTGCTTCTGAAAAAGAGTGGTCCGACAAAAGTCAGGACCGGAAAACATCGGCTGTCCGGGCACTTGGTCGTCATTCACAACGTCCAAGATTCCGGCCTGGCCGAGAACCCATTCGTCGGTCACCACATGAGGTCCGTCCTCAGTGATTCCCGCCATGACGCCTACAGAGACCTACGGTACCTGCAGGGTTATTATTAAAAGGGGTTCGCGGTGCCAACCGAGGACGAATCCTACGGCTGATAACCTGCGAAAGGGTTTGAAACAGTATTTCGGGAGAGAATAAACAGGCCCTAACCCACCAACAAGAAGAGACAGTTTAAGCCCCCCAGTCCCAAGGGCAAAGTGGCGCCCTCGGCTGGCAATGAACCACACAGATAACAAACGGGGGATCCTGTTTAACCGCAAAACCCAAACAGGAAAGGGGACCAGCGCAGCCAACCAAGCGAGCGCAGCAAGCAAGCGAGCAAAGCAATTAACCAAGCAAAAGCGGAGCAGCAGCGACAATGCGATTCCCAACCCAAACCTGACCCACACCCAAAACCACCCAGCCGCCGTAATCCGGGGCGTGGGGTTCGACCACCCACGCACCAGCACGGCGCCGCTGACGGCACTTTTGACGGCTATGGCAGGTAGCGTTGCCGGAATGTAAACTTGAGCCAAACGGCGCATTGGCCGTGGCGTTGAAACATGTTGCGATAAAACTACATGCCCCCAAAAACAAAAAGGAATCCCCACTTGGCGGAGGGCAAGGTGGCACATCCTCTCTGAGGCCAGCACTGACGGGCGGCTTCGATGCCCGATTCTGGGCAAACTCTGAACCATTGCTCTGCACTCACTTTGGGTCACTGGGTCTAAGGCTTGAATGGACTCGTGCTCCTTGTATCCTGCATATCACTCAAGACTTAAGACCAGGACTTTCCGCGCGTCTGGCCCAAGCCTGCGCGGGGCTTCTCACGGCCTGCAAGGCGGCAGGTCTGAAAGTCTCCATCGGAGAACTGTGCGTGTGCACCTTTGCCCCAGTAGGCGGGAAGGTATGACGGCATGACGCCTGGCAGCCCGAGGCATCGGTGTGCATGGGAACAGCGCTGAGACCAGCACCCCAGTAGCCAGGCCATTCCCAGTCTCTTCCTGGCGATGGCTTACTGCCTAGGGTTCCACAAGCGGCTTCTCGGCTTTTCTAGAAACGCTTGTGTGACTCGTTGCCACGAGAAGGCAATCCGCGTTTTTCTCGTGCCCTCCAGCCTTCAGGATATCCACCGAAATAGCCTGCGCGGCACAATCTCATCGGCTCGCACCTCAATCTGGTCGCGCCGTTGTAGCCGTAGCCGTAGTAGCCTAGGACAACACTTGCCTTCCAACGCTTTCCACACAAGTTCTTTCCGGGTGAGCTTAATGCCAAGCCAACACGCTCCATAACCAGAATCGCTGGCTCTCAGTGGCAGCCCCCCCCCCCCTGCCAGCCTGTGGCAAAAGTAAGACTATTGCGGGAATAGCACAGCATGTCCAACCGCAGCCGTGCAACCACAACGACCGCACGACGCGAAAACACTGCCACAACATCCGGCAAAGCACATTCAAACAAGCTACACACAACGCTCGCGTACAGCTTGGGGATGTGCAACCCACATTATGGAACAAAGCACGAAATTGAAGCCAAGCGAGGTGTGGAACAAAGCCAACAATCAAAACTCTTGCCATGCAACACAGCAAGCCCGGACAAAGACGGCTAACGGAAAAAGAGAAAGCATGCATCTACAAAAATGCGATGGCACGCTGGATTCTTGAGCCGGAGCTGTAGTGCACAGAGCACGCAGTGCAGATGTCGAACGTCCGCAACTGTGAAAGACTTGTCGTTGAAGTCTCAAGGCTTCGCAGCTCGAACAACACGCGCCCGCACGAAGTACATGCTCGCTCAAAATGCTTCGCATGGCGTCAGGTGCGTGTCCCCGACACGCAAGCGTTGAATGTGGCAAAACGAGGCGCGCACCTTTCCCAGGTGCTCTTTTGGCTCCTGACTCCAAGTTACAGAGACGCCAGAGCTTCTCTCCATGCAACTGCCGGTCCTGCGGCCTTCTCTGACGGAGGCTTGCCTGCTTTTGAGACCAATCAATGCAAGATTGACGTCGTGCTCTTGATTCGCACATTGACAATCTGCCAATGCCGATCCTCCTTCAGAGGCGGGCGGTGTGCTGAAGCTGGCTCCTGCACGATGCACAGCCAGCGACCAGCTACGTTGGGCGGAGTTTGCAAGTCCTCCCTCGCCAGGCGCACCTCGAAGGCTTTGAGAAACTCTCGAAGTGGCCACATCAATCCCAAATCCCCGCCATGCCCCGCCATGCCCCGCCATGCCCCGCCTTCCGACGGGGTGAGGGCTCCTGCGAAGCCACAGCCATAACCCTGTAACCCCGCGACCCCGTATAGCTCCGAATGGCTCCGAAACCCTGTAACTAAGTCATCCGGCCCCATCAGCCCCATGCAGAAGGATGACGCGCGAGAGGCAAAGATCCCTTCCAAAAGGGCGGATCCCGCCTTCGCAGAAGGCATTTGGTTCGCCTGTCGACTGGGGCTTGGCTTTCTTGGCTTCTCAGTGCTTTCGTCAAACATGGTGAGGTTCTTGGGGGCAGAAATGCTGCCACGCACTGCACACCTCGCCTTGCGTGCGCGTGTTGAAACCTTAGCCCGTCCCAAGCAAAGCACGTCGGCTTCGCGCGCCGAGAAAAGGAGAAAAGTCCATCTGCGGCGCTGGCTCGCTGGTCCTGCACATGTCCGGCCCTCAACCCCAGCCGGAAAAACAAAAAGAGCTGTAACCTGCGAGTGGCCGATCTTACCGGGACTTGACTCAAGTTGCGTTGAAGGCACTGCATATCGTCTTGGTTGCCAAACACAATCGCGGCCAAGAAAAACACTCCGGTTCACAGAATGCCTCAAAGGATGAGAGCACAGCCGAATCCTCTGTTATACATGCTGGAATCAATGTCAAAGCCAAGCGTTCCAAGCTTTCCAAGCGTTCAGAAGAGCCGAACGAATTGACTTTGTGGGGGTGGAGCAAGCCGGTTTCCAAAGACAGAAAATGCACGCCATTTGCCATTTGCACAGAGGGATGGCCGAAGGCACCGAACTTAGCTCGCATGGAAACAGATTGAGTGGCGTGCGCTTGCAAGAATGGGAACACTACGTCTGCCGCGGCAGTGAGAGCAACGCAGGATTGCCTTCCGACTTGTCCGCCCTGTTGCACCGCGAACCCCATTTAGGCATTGAACATCTATGCGGGAAAGGCGACAAAAAAGTGTCCTCGGTCGCGATCCCTTCGGCGGCGATCACGACGGCGCCCTCGGAAAGCGGCGAATCCGCGTGCCGATGAGCGCTCAGCATGCGATGCACTACGCAATCCTTGGAAAAGCTGTCTCAGGGAATCGGAATGGATTTTGCATCTCGCGTTCTGTGACGCAAAATTCGAAAATCGATGGCTGAACATTTGCGTAATGTCGAAAGTTCTCGCCCTTCAGGCGATCGTGCAAAGCCCGGATCGGGGGCATCGGGGGCATCGGGGGCATCGGGGATGTCTGTGGAACACGGGAGAGCTCTCCGGTGACACTCAGACCGGGGCGCGAGTCCGCCTGGCGCCGGATTTGTCTAGCTGGAAGAAGGTACAGGTGGATCGAGGTGGATGGTGGGGTTGGTATCGAACTCCCGCCTCCAGCTTCTGTCCTGGCGAATCGGGGCCCAAGAGCTCACAAAAAAAAAGGTTCCCAATGATCCTGAAACTTGCACTAAGTCTCCATGGATGTCTCAAGCCACGCGTTTCAAGAAGGGCTGAAAGTGCAGCGATCTCCTTCTCTCCTCTCCTCTGAGGGCTTCCTGGCACAGGTCGCAGGTCCGCGGGCACTCTGAGCTTTCGATCGCCTCGCAAGCTCGGAGATGTGCTGGAAGACTCGCGCCGGCTCCAACCTCGAGAGGCACTCACTGCGAAGCGACCCTGGCTCCGGACTGGGCATCCATGCGAGTCGCAATCGAGCACACGCCCCCGCAGGTCCTGCGAGAGTCTCAATGAGAGCTTCAATGCAACTCGAACTGTTCCGGTTCTTCACGCATCGCCGCATCGCCTGCCACAGGCGCCGGTCGAGTTCGATGGATTCGTCAGCCTCACGCAGATTCTCAGCGCGCAAACGGACACCTCCCAGCCAACCTCCAGGTCGAGGCCAGCCAGGCTCGAGAACTGCCTTCTTTCTTTCCTCGCACAGCTGGCTGACATCTCAGGACTCGTCTTTATGTTCGGCTTTTGGGGCTTTGAGGCAAAGCTGCAAACAGCCACGCCCTAATTGGCGTTTCACTTTCATTCAACATCCCCAGCAAGTTTGCGGGTTCCAGAAACGGCGTACACGAGGCATTCGACCGACTATTGCAAAACATGGACATTTAGCATCACTTGTGCGCAAGATACCACACCAAAAGAGGACTGTGCACTGAAAGCTGTATCAGAAGTCAGCCTTGGCAAGTCGTCCCAGGTCGAAAACCGGTGTAGAAGCTGCAGGATCTTCCGGGCACGTCGAGCATCCTGGTCATACGCACATACGCATAGGTCGGCCAATGTTGCACAGCCCAGGTTCACCTGCTCATCTTCGTCCAAATCCTCCAACTGTTCCTCAGCACCGCACCGTGGGTGCCATGGGTGCCATGGGTGCCGTTTCGGCCGTGTGAAGATTTGCCTTTGGCACCCCCGGCGCCTGTCTCCGACTCCTGGACGCTCGAGACCTTTCTCCCCCGTCAAGGCCTCGGGCCGCAATTCTCCGCACCCGAAACCCTGGCCCGCCCCCAAAAGAACTTTTGATTTGTGATGGGCTGGAAATTATGTTTAGATTGCACATCTAGCGTGTGTGTGTGTGTGTGTGCACAATGACATGCGATGCATTCTGTTGCAACACACGGCGCGGCAACATCAATATCGCGACCTAGTATTCCGATGTGTGTCTGTGGTGACAAGATGTCCGAGCCTATGATTTGGTCATATTTACGATACTATGACATTGTGAGTATGATAATATGATGTACTGATATCGCATATCATTTTGCGATTGTATCAGACACCATGAACACATTGGATTGTTCTGATATGATGTACTTGAAAGAGTGTGATTTTACGATATCATGACTCATGACCTTTGCTTAACTTCAAATGGCATGTATTGACTTGCACTTGCATGACACAAGCAAAACACAAAGACACCCATCGGCAGGCATTCTACCGAGCCCACGTCGATCTCATGCCTTCTGCCCACAAACCTTTACAACCAGCCTTCAGAGAAAGCATCTGACAGCGCAGCTTGTCCCGCCTGTCCTTTGGCCCTTTGCGTCTGTGATTCGCTTTAGCACCCCGGCCAGATTTTGGAGCGGCCCTCCCTCTCGGCCAAGTGGCTCAGGCCTTCCCATGCACAGCTCCGCTCCCACTTCTTTTCTTTCCGGGAATCGTAGCTCCACTTCTCGTCCCACTCGGACCATTTCCAGCACCTCGGGACACCACACCAAGAAACCAAGCTGGTTGTCCCAAATGCGATGCCAAGCTTCTCTTCATCATCCCTGTCAAAGCATCTGGGAGAGATTAATTTTTCATGTCGTTTACGTGTGTGTGCTTGATTTTGCCTCATGTTGCATCTACTGTTTCAAGTTGTAACTGTCAATTGGTCGCCGCTTCGCCGCGTGCCTCCAGGAAGCATCCTGAGCCAGCAATTCGGGGAGCAGTTCAAGTATGCGCTTACAATCAGCAAGGCCCCTGTGGGAAACTTCATGAGTCCCCCAAAACAGACCATCGACTAAACCTCACATGGTCAGCCCTCAGGATGCTGCACTCGGACGGGAGCTCCATTTCCCTTGCGCTTTCTTGGGCCAGCCTGGCACAGCGCAACTCGCAACTGTGTCAGGATGAGACCTGATTGACCCGATTGACCCGATTGACCCGCTGTGCCGAGCCACTGGGCGTGTCCTTCCAATCGCCTGGCCAGGCGAGCAACAGCCTGGAGCGAGCCGACTCGGGTCAGGGCCAGGGCCGCCAGCGCCAGGGCCGCCAGGGCCGCCAGGGCCGCCAGGGCCGCCCGACGGGGAAGGGTTCGAAACGCCCGGGTTCTCCAGGTCCCGCTTGGTGCCGTCCTCGCTCTCGTCCGAGGACGTCCGACTCACGTTTCCCTCGCCTTGCCGATGGGGAAGCCGCGCCGAGCGCGAGGCTTCTCGGACCTATCCAAGCAACGCACCAATTGACGTGATCCATGTGATGAACCCGAGCCTTGAGTCCCATCCTGGCGCTCCCGAAGCGGATACAAGGCATGGCCAAGTTCTCAAAAGTCGATCAATGTCTCATGTCTGCCCGTCGCTACCTTGCAGTCTCCCACCGAACTGCGTATTTCTTGCGCACTTTGCAAAGCCGAATTGGGGCAAAGCAAGATGGAGCACCGGGTGCCAGCGCCTGAGCGGTCCAGCAGCTCTGCCTGCATTTGAGACACAGGTCGGTTTCTCGTTGTCGGCCCAGGTTTCAGGGTTTCAGGGTTTCAGGGTTTCAGGGTTTCAGGGTTTCAGGGTTTGAGTTCGCAGCAGCGGGCTCACAGGTAGCGGCTTTATGTAGACTTTTCCAATGCTTTCTGAAGGCTGAAGGTATGTTTGGCTGGCTTGGGGATAGCTGCCTCCAGTGGATATTCTGACTTGTTGGGTTGGGTTGGGTTGGGGCTGAACGGGTAAAACTGAGCGCGGTAAGGGATGTTGCCCTTTCCCTCAACTCAACGAACTACCAACCCACCAACCAACCAACCAACCAACCAACCAACCAACCAACCAACCAACCAACCAACCAACCAACCAACCAACCAACCAACCAACCAACCAACCAGCCAACCGGGACACGGGAACAAAGCTGAACGTTGAGAAAGGCGCGATGCCACTTCTGCCCACCTCCAAATCAGCCACCCTGAGCCCCATCATAGATGGAGTGCCTTGAGTCAAGCAACTGACCCGCTGACTGAGCAACTCAACAGACCTGGACTGGGCGAAGACAGTCTGACCTCGGATGCCCATTGGCTTGTTCAAACGTCACATGCTGTCTCGTCCCGTCTCAGCCAGCCACGTGGGGCCTGAGCCGATCGAGGCGTCGAAGCGAGAGCGGAGCCGCGGAGCCGCGGAGCCGCGGAGCCGAGCCTCTCGGAGTCCGGGGTCGGGGTGTCAGTGCGGTCACGGTCACGGTCGCTCGCCAGCTCCTGGCGGATGGAGCTAACGGCGACCGGGAAGGCTTACGGCGACCGACGGCACACGGCGAAACGCGCCTCTCGGTGCGATCCGCTATGTCCCACAAAAACGTTCCTCGAGGCAAAGCATCCCAGATAGGGCCTGAAACACGTGTAACTTTGACGTTCGGGCCCTTCAGAGGCATTTTATTTGCCAAAACTGCCAAAGGCTGCCAAGGGGCTGAGTTTCGCTCGGCACCTCGCTTCCGTCACTCACTTGGTGCGATGATGTGCGATGCTTTGGGTGTGAGAGCCCAGCTGTAGTGGAGAGCAAGACCGCCTCAGACGGTGTCCCATCCCTCCCATTCCACCCCGTCCCTCACTTCACATGAGCGCGGGAGCCGGGTGCACGGCTTGCGGCACTGGCATGGTGTAAGTGTTGTCTGGGACCTTGGCAAAGCGGTCAAAATATGCTGTCACACCCTCTTGAGAAAGTCAAGTCCCCATTCCACACCTCAAGTCCAAAGTTTGAAACAAAGAAACTGCGTGAAAAACTGCCACACTCCGAGCCGGGGACCATGGCCATGTGAGGCATGCCAGCCATGCCTCCGGCCATACCGGCCATGCCGGCCATGCCCGACCACGCCCTTGCGACGCGAGTCCATCCGGTCACAGGCCGGCCGCAGCCGCGAGGCTTGGCACTAGGCCCGTAAGGCCCGTAAGGCTTGGACATGTATGGCACATCCTGGGACCGAAACCGAACCTAAAAAGCGCAAGCCCTGTCTGAGAGGCTGGCTGGCGTCAGAACATCCTGACCATACGTCCTCAGTCGGGTTTGCGTGGCTGAACACCAGACACCAGCTTGATTCTAAATGTCGACACAAAATCAGGCCATTCCAGAAAATTACTCATGGAGAAGCTGGAAAGTTCGAAAGCTCTGCCTAGAAATCATTTTTTGCATATGCACACGTGTCAGACAATGTTGTGTCTATATGGCAAAGCAGCCACCACAAAGAAGTGCTAAAAGCATCACGCCGTGCAACAGACTTGCTTCATGCCTTCACGAGCCAAGCCTTCATGAAACTCTGAAACGGTGCACGACCAAGGCTCAGGCTGTGAACCTTGAGGTGCCGCCGGATGAATGTCCACTGGATTACTCAAGCGATATCCTCGGCAAAGTTCTTCTAACAAGGTCACCAGTTCGTGAGATGCTGTTGCGCAAACACGTGAGCAAGCCGCTTAGCCCGCAATCCTTCCAGCATGGTTGTGAGTTTCGATTCCTTTGCTTTCTCAGGGCAGCTCTCAGCATCTCCATCATCCCCTGACCCACGAGCAGGAAAGAAAGCCGTGCAAAGAACACTGCGCCTCGCTGTGCGGCATGCCCAGACTGGGAAGCCAAGCAGAATCGCAGAATCCAAGCTCGCATCCAAGCGCAATGCCACTACAAACCTCTGGGCGCCGTGCTCGGAGGCGATGTCAGATGCCAGCAGAAAGTTCTCGGTAGACTAACAACAGCGCACAAAAGCAAGCCTTGGCTAGGCAATCGAATATCGAGCTGAGAGCAAAGCCAAATCAGCCCAGTGTTGGATCACCTCAAAGGTAGGGCGTTGCCAAGCCACAGACCCAAGCAGCCCAAGCAGCCCAAGCAGCCCAAGCAGCCCAAGCAAGGCACCTGCCTCCAACAGCATTAGGCAATCATCCATGGCCTCCAGGCGTCAGGTTCGTTCCGCTTCGCGGGTGCAAGCACATGCCTGGTGTGCTCGGAGTGTGCGTGTCCCAGGCACGTGTTCCTGGTACCTCAACGATCCGAACTTTCGAACTTTTCGATCCGATCGATCCGATCGATCCGATTCCGGCGCTCCGGGGCCCCGGCAGCTGGCGCAACGCCAGCACTCCGCCAGATCCATAGGTGGGGCCTACCCGACACCGTCACGGAAAAGCACGCCGCAAGCCCAACTGCCCCAACTGCCCCAACTGCCCCAACTGCCCCAACTGCCCCAACTGCCCCAACTGCCCCTGCCAGCCCGGCCGTATTGCCGCTTCAGCGTGCGGATGGGGTCAAAGGTCAGAAGACTCGGACCGCCTCAAAATCCGAAAGCTGCCTGTGACCTCTTCACGGCTTTGACATTGCCCTTGCCTTCCATGTTTAGATCCAGCCGCTTGATCTCCTTTGCCAGGATAATGTGGTCAAAGGCATCTCCGTTGTGAGCCTCAAACTCGGTCGTATGCGCCTTATGCGCCTTACGCGCCATGCGAGTAAGCTGCCGGCCAGCATTGCCAAGTTGCCGGAGTTGCCGGCAGCTCGCCAAAGAAAGGGAAAAACCTGCATGTTTCACCCGTTGCATGTCTGGCAATCTGGCATGGCATTTCATGTACTCTCACAGTGCACCAGTCTTAGACTTGCAGAAGCTTCGTTCCACAAAGATCGTGAATCGAGCTCGAACATCGCCTCGTGCGTCCACACTTCCTTGAAAAAGGGCAGCGTCTGATCTCGCACGATGTCAGCGTGGCCTACGGCACTCGCGGCCAGAACGTGCTGCCGTGTGCAAAACGTCTGAACTCGCACCCTTGGGCCGTTGGGCCGTCGGCCCCGTCGGCCCCATCGGCCCATCAGCCCGTTGGCCCCGTTGGCCCCGTTGGCCCCCCCCCTTGGGCTGGTGCCATGGTCTTCGGCAAACAGCCGCGCCGCATGTGACCTCCGCTGGACCGAATCGAGAGCACATCGCCCGCTTCGAGGCCTCACTTCCTCCCAGCCAAAGTCAGGCCGGCTTCGGACACCTGGACAGAAACATGAAAAATGCTGTTCGAGAGAGCAAATTCTGAAATGCACAAACCCCTCAAGGAGACTATGGCTTTCCCTTCGCCATCAAGGTGGTCCCCTCCTTTTTGAGAACATTGAACTATCGTTCCCCCTATGCATTCTGAGGGTCCGACAAATGCTCTCCCCTGTCAGCACCTTTGCACAAGGCACGCATGCTCGGATAAAAAGACAAATCCATTCCTTCAAAGTCTTTGCTCTCAATATTGAGCTGCGCGGCGTTGACGGCTGCAAACTCGATGATCTGTGAACGTGACTTCCATTCCATCTGCTCGTCTTGGGCGCACTCGTGGAGACCTGTCAGGCTAAGAGGCCAAGAAGCCAAGAGGCAAAGGCAGGACATGCGGATTGAAAATGCAATGTCGCACACCGTGCCCCGAGCCCTTCTCCGCGTAGTTGCCGCGTTCAGCGTCATGGATGGTCTCCAGGTCGTACAGCACCACCTTCGCAAGATTTCAACACCTGCATGAGAAAGGCCAATGTGAAACATCCACAACGTACAATCATCTGGCCGTCTGGGTGAGGCTCGCGCCGTTTAGTCAAAGTGTTTAACTGTGTCAAGTCTGTCAAGTCTCAGCCCATAGCTCCGAAGTTCAGAGACCCGGTGCTGATGCCATCCTGAGAAACAAAAGAAAAAAGCAAAGGAATGACTTGAATGACTTGAATGACTTGAATGACTTGAGTCGTGCCCTAAGTGCTAGGGCCCGGGCTTGGTACATGTCATTATTTTCTCGCGGTTGGATCTGCAGGTGTTGCCTTTCTTGCAAATGCTGCCTCATTTGCTGGCAGTGCATCTGTTGATGCTGCTGATGCTGCTGCTGGTGCTGCTGGTGCTGTTGTTGCTGCAGCTGTTGCTGCAACTGATGCTGTTGCATCATCTGCTGCTGCTGTTGCTGCTGCTGCATCTGCTGATGCTGCAGCTGCTGACTCTGCCTCAGACGTGATACGGATAAACAAAACCCAGCTCTGCTCCCTTTGCAGCAAAGCTGCAGGAATTGCAGCTCCTGCCATTTATTCAATGACGAGGAAATGTTGCGAACACTGACCAAGGCACCACTTGGTGCAGTGCTTGGATTGTGCAACTGATTCCAAATTCTCCTGTTTCTGCGGGTACCACGCATTGCCAAAAGGTGCAACCTCCGAGCACATCACAGCTTGGCCCCTCTCACGGGATAGTCCCAGTGCCTGTTCTGGGCTTGCGTCACCTGTCAGCCGATTCAGTCGGAAGGCGCCTGTGCCCGGCACCAGGCCTATTCCGTGCGGAGAAGGCTCGCGCATATAACCTGGAGCAAATCACCGTGTCGGCGAGCACGAAAAAAAGTTCTGGCTCAGGCACAGGCAGGTGTCACGTACCGCCTGCGTCAAATAGTGATATTGGCAGAAGAGGGCAAAAAACCAAGAATACTAGCGTGAAGGGAAAGTGGCTGTCCGCGCGTGCCTGGAATGCCGTTGGTCTCGCAGACGCCCACCTAGGGAATCGGAAAGCTCCGGACATCTTTTGCTGTCCGCGCCGGAAATGTCAGCCCGCGACAGGCCGCCCTGCATGCCCTGCATCGGATTCGCCTCTAGCGCACCTCGCTGCATTCGAAATACTGCGAATGTTGCCGAAGCTCAGTGCCGGACACGCATCACATCCAGACCATCAGGCAAGAACAACGAAAAATTGGACGGCATACAAGTTGGGCAAGCATCTACTTAGTGCACATTCCCATTCACTTGAAAACCCTGCATGGAATGAAAGCCATTGAAACTGACCTGATCAACTAGTAGCTTGCAAGGATGCAGAATTTGTCTCTGAGCCAGGCGAATCACAGCAACCAAAATGTCAATACACGCACATTGAAATGATCATGTGTTAAGGGTTTTCAGGGTTGAGAATCAAAATGCTAGCGTTTCGTAATGCATCCTTGCAATGAACGATGCGGGAGAGCTGGGCCACTTCTTCAGAGACCATATGTCATGAACGATGCGGGCACAGTATGCCAGTACTCGCCAAATGCACCAAGGTCCTAAGGTATCGGAGCAGTCGGCGCAAATTGGTGGAGTGTGACATCTAGCCTGAGGTCTCAAGAATCCAAGGTTTCTTGGCCCCGACTCAAAAGGGACAACAATGTGATTGATCAAGTTGAAAAGAACGGTGAGTGGGAGATATGTTTAGCTAGTGGCCTGAAAACCGCTTCAGAAGGCTTTTGAAAAAAACTGTCAAATGGTTGCACACACTGAAAATTAAAGGGTTCCATGCAAAGAGCATGAGTCCTGCGACGGCCCTCCCAGTAAAACAGAGTTTGCAATAGTTTTGGTGGAAGTTGTCCTCATGACTCGCCTTGTCCGTTGGTTTGTTGAATGATTGAGAAACATGATCTGTGTCACGCCTGCAAAAGTCAAGGCCTTCTCATGTAAGTTGCGTGGCATTTCGGCCCGGGTTGTTTCTGAAACATCCGTGGCCAAGCTGCTGGGTGACTGCAAGCCTAAAAATGTCAGTGTTACTGATCGCGGTTCCTTACCTTCACAAGTTTGCCACAATCAAGCAATTGGCCGAGGAAGCATTTTTCTTGCGGAGCCCGTTTTGACCGGGTTGCGCGGGCGGCTCAGTTGCACGATAGGTGCACACTGCAGTGCATGCCCCGACTTTTCACCCCCCTCTTTAGTGGGCTTAAGGGAGTAAATATTTTTGCCTGCTGTGGCGGCACGGCGGTGAAAGGCAGGGAAGGATGAAATGCCTGGAGCGGCTTCCAGATGCTTTGCGCACCATGGGGCGTTTGCGAGTGCTGTAACTGCTGCGGCCGCAGGCAGAAACAAGCGCAATCCACGTGGCAGGCGTGGGAGCTTTCGCGTCGCCTTTCGCTCAGGGCTGCAAAGATCTGCTCAAAATCCTACATTGGGGAAAAGAGAGTGAAAGGAAAGGATATGAAAGTAAATGAAAGGATAAAGAGAAAGAAGAATGACATGAAAGCAACCAAACAATCCTAAGACCTTTCCATGTCATGTAATCCTAAGAAGAATGTGTACATGATTTCTAATCCAAATCAATTCATTTTTGATAAGAACACAATATGATAGGAGATTTATGCCACATATCTTCGTTCCAGAGATTCCGAAAGTTGATGATAGAAAAGTTATTTGACAGCATTCCCTTTATCCCATGCCATTTAATCTTTCTATCTTCTAATTATTACATTTTGAAGAGATCCTATATGCTGAGGATAATGGATGAAGAAAGATGGGAGAAAGAGATGATTGTAATCCAAAAGTGCTTCTAGAGCTATTTATTATTTCCTTTCATGTTCTTTGCAAACATTGCAACTGGCGGTGGCGCCATTGTCGTGAAAACCGTTCTTGGCGCCGGTCTGATGCCCAATGTTTCTTTGCTTTTGCCGGGCAGCGAAATCCTTTTGTGTTAGAAGCCTGTTCGCTGCTTCAAGCCTAAAACAAATATGTACGAAGAAAAAGGGGAGACATTGCACAGAATGACACTGTCTTTTTTTTTCAAGGCGTTGCTCAGAGGTGCATGCTCAAGGATGCAGGTGAGCCAACATGCGTGTTCTGCTCGTGCCATGCTGCATCCCCTTCAAAGCCTGGAGATTTACCCCTCCTGTAAAGCTCTGAGCAACCAGATAAAACCTAACCCCTGCTTCAGTTGCGACGCCTGGCGATGCTCTGAACGCCATGGTGCGTCAGTGGGGCGCAAGGTCACCGATGCCTCATGAGGCTCAAAGTCTGGCCTCTTGAAGGAGATACGTTCCTTGTCTCCTCTCGCAAAGGCGGAAAGGTTACCGCGACTAAGCTGGTCTGCCCAAACATTACGTTCACCGGGGATGTGGGATGCCACCACATGCTACTTGTGCTCACGTGCCCAGGCTGCCACAAGTTGCACCAAGACTTGCAACGGCCACGAAGCGGTGAAAAGTTCGTTGACGGCCGCTTCTGCCGCCGTGTTGTCGGTACCTGTGGATATGCACACGCTGTGCTTTTGCTAGCCGCGCAATAGCGCCAGCTACGCCAAAGCCTCAAAGCACGCACAGTTTTACGTAGGCACGCTTTGGAATCCAGAGCTGAAACGAGAGAGGGCCATAATCGAGCATTGACTGAAATCAATCACACAAACGGACGAGGAATGCAGATCAGTGTACAGGGGGGGTTAGCCATACTGACTGCGCACCTGTAAAATAACCAAAAAATGCCGCCGCCTTAGCACATATGAACCGGGAGAGACCCCGCAGTACGCCAGCAGAGAGTAAGACCTGCAGGCTGTCAGCTGATGTGCACAACGCGCCTGCTGCATGCCAGGATATGTACCGTCGCAAGAGATTTGTAGGAAAGCGTGCAACGGGAGCGACCCTGCAGAACGCCAGAACGCGAATAGAACATCATGGTAAAGCAAAGCCAAGCAATCAATAACCGGTCAACGATCCAGACGAGGGGAGGGGAGATACGCATCGACTGAGACGGGCGAACCCAAACGTTAGAATCTTGGTCACTGCTTCAAGCCTAAAGGGACATGCAAGGGAAAAAGCAACCGACCGGAGCAAACTCGATACGCGCTTTTTTACTTGAGCGTTGCTTAGAAGTGCAGGCTCTGAGATGCAGGTGGAGTGACGATGCGCGTCCACTCCATCTTCCTGCATCTCATGCGGAGCCTGTCGGAATGCCCCCTGTGGTCAACATTGCGTGTTCGACCATCACACAGGGTGTTGTACCCATGGGGTGTGAGACAAATAGGAGGTATTGTGCACATGTATGCAATGCGTGCATAGGTATGCATGGGAGGATTGCGTCCTCCGGAAGGGGACCAGGCTGGTCCAAAAGAATGCCGATGGCATTCGGCGATGTGCGATTGCGTGCACAACATGGGCCTCGCTGCATATGCTCACACTGGTCCTGCGGGAGCAGCGGGATGCAGTAAGCCTTTGAAATGTCGGAAGCTGCAAAGCTTCCATTCCTGCGTGCGCATGCTTCCCCAATCAGGCCTTGTGGAAGTTGGTTTCCACCTGGGCCGTGAAAGGGTGGGAGGGTGGGTTCAAAAAAGAACGCAAGAGGGGTCAAACCCTCAAGGCATGTCCCTTACCAAAAAGCTTGAAGCAGAAACGGCCACGCGGCCGAAGATTCAACCAAGATTAAAACACAGGGGAAAAGACAAACCCCTAGCGTTAGAATCTTGGTCACTGCTTCAAGCCTAAAGGGACATGCAAGGGAAAAAGCAACCGACCGGAGCAAACTCGATACGCGCTTTTTTACTTGAGCGTTGCTTAGAAGTGCAGGCTCTGAGATGCAGGTGGAGTGACGATGCGCGTCCACTCCATCTTCCTGCATCTCATGCGGAGCCTGTCGGAATGCCCCCACTTTAGAGTTCTAAGCAAACGGTCAAATCACCTCACCCCCTCTTTAGTGCGTTTTTTAGTGTGTTTGCGATGCAGCCACGTGCTCGGGTCTCCACGGTGCGTCCGCAGGGTGAAGCGTGAGAGCTGATGTGTGAGGCCAGAAGTCATGCGGCCTGAAGCGCACTCTGGCATCTGGTCGAGCTTGGAATGCGGAGGTATTACCTCTGCTAAGCTGGTCCGCCCAGATGTTGCGCTCTCCTGGGATGTGTGACGCGATCACGGACCATTTGTGCTTATGGGCCCAGGCAGCTACAAGTTGCACAAAGACTTGTAAAGGCCAAGCAGTGGTGAACAATTTATTAACACCGGCTTCGGAAGCTGTGTTATCTGTCCCTGTTGGCATGCAAATGCCATGCACACTTTGTCCCTCGCAGGACCATGCGATACGCGTGAGTGCTAGCTGAGCCAAGGTTTCGAAGCATGCGATGTAACGCTGGGCTTCTTTGGTCAGGCATGGCCATTGTTCCTGGACTTCTTGGAATTGCCACGTCTCTGCGAACCAAGAAACGGAGTTGCTGGAGATGAACCAACCCCCTATGCCGACTATACTGCCCTCGGCGCAGGCGTCCGCGGCTGCTTTGCAAGCCAGCATGGGCTTGCTTCTTAGCGGGCATGCGAGGTCTAGATGGAAGCATTGCAGCAACCATTCTACGCTGTGTTTGCTCATTCTGGACAGGCGAGTGTGCTCTGCGGAAGCGTCCGCTACGCGCGCCCAGGCGGATTTGTGACTAGGCACAACGCGAGGCAGGTCGGCTGGCGTGCGAATGCATGCCCCTTGGAACTCTAGAACTTTAGAGCCTGGTGGCATAAAAATGCCGTGCACTGCTGACCTGAGCACGGCTTTGGCGTCTAATGCTGAAAGGAAGGATGGCCACAAACGCGCATGGATAGAGATCATGCAACCCGGCGGCGAGCGCAGGTCTGTGTACAAAGGTGCCAGCCAGGATCTGAGTTCGGGGCTCAGACTGGTAGCCCAAATGAGAAGGCCTAGAACCTGCTCCAAAAGTTTTCGCTTGACCTTCCCTGCTTTGAGCAGCTCGTGCAGCTGTCCTTTTAATTTTGTGGTTTTTTCCGGCGTGAGTTCGATGGTCTCGTGCAGGAAATTAATGCGCCACCCACACCACGTGAGGCTGTCTTGAAATTGAACCTTCTTCCAGGAGATCGGGGCCGATATTGCTGCAAAAAACATGACCATGAGGGCCAGCTGTGCGTCTGCGTCACTGCGATGCAGCGCTGCCAAAAGGTCATCCACGAACAACCATGCGCGATGCGGGTGCAGTCCCAAAATGCCGTGCAGTAGTCT